TCAGGTCTTGGGACCACTGAGTCACAGGGACACGTTATCTGGAGCCCTCTGACCTTGGGATAATTGTGCTGTCCTTCCCAGGTACAGAAGAATGTGCTTCGATAACCAGTATGACCACAACCAATGGGATATTCACATTACAATCAATAGGGTATTCAATCGAATGGGATAATTTATATAATTCAGAAAATCAAAACAACTTTTCTATTGTTAAACAAAGCAAATAAGTACAGAAGCCAAACAGCAGGGTTAAAGTTAAACTATAGTTTCTACCTGCGATGATTGCTACCATACTTCAGTAGGAGAACAGAGGCAACTTTTCTCCCCCCAGAAACATAATCTTTTTAAAAATATATTTTTATTGATTTCAGAGAGGGAGAGAGAGATAGAAACATCAATGATGAGAGGGAATCATGGATTGGCTGCCTTCTGCACGCTGCACATTGGGGATTGAGCCCGCCACCCAGGGATGTGCCCTGACTGGGAATCGAACCCTGACCTCCTGGTTCATAGGTCGATGCTCAAGCACTGAGCCCTGCTAGCCAGACCAGGGGTGACTTTCTTTCCCGGCTGGTGTTCCTAATTTTTCCGCACTGAGCCTATCCCGTGTCAGAAATGATAAAAGCTGTACAAAATAAAAACTCAACCCCACACTGTTCAGTCACCTGGCTTCACCGCTTGTGTCCCCCCCATACCCCCCTCCCCCGTGGCTCTCCCTCCCCACTCGCTGTGCTCCTGCTGCTCTGGCCTTGGACCTCCTGCCCCTTAAAGGCTGGGGTCTGAGAAGCGCCCTGCAGGGGGCGCTCCCTTGGGAGCGGGGTGTCCGGGACTGGAGAACACGAGGAGTTTGAGAAAGCACGTCCTGTGCTGTAATTTTATCCTCAGGAAATGAAACAGAACAACACACACAGAAGCCTCGCGGACACCCCGCAGGCTCGCAGATGGGGCCTCGAGAGCTCCTTTACTCGGCGATGACTTTATTTTTTCCTTCCTGGTTTCTCCCCAACGGCCGGGAAGCCCCCGAGTCAGGGAGCAGTGTCTGCCTTGTCCCCATGCCCGGCACAGAGTAGCGCTGTCACTGTCTCTGCCTCCTGGTGAATGATTCTCCCTCCGGGGGCCCAGAAACACAGCCCGTGAGGAAGAGCTTCTGAGGGGAAACGAGGTTTTGCAGTTCAGTAACCCAGCCGTGCACCCAGGTAACCCCATCTTCGCCCAGTGCCTGCCTTCACCCCTTCCTCCCTGCGGCAGAGGCCACCCCTACACTGCTCCCCACAGACTGGACCTTTGTCCCTGTGAGAAGGCAAAAGGCTAATCTCAGGGGTCGATGTAACCCCATCCCCAATAATGGCCCACAAGAGTCAATGATTTGATAAAGCCAGTGGGGAATGAAGCCTAGTAACCTCTATTTTATAAAAAATGCTGTTTGAAATTTCCGCTAGACAGAGGTTCTTTGTTCTGTGAATTAATTCTGCTATTATTGGCTTCTGTAAAACATGCTTGCTCTAATGATAGGTAAAATAAGCTTACCTGTCTGACCTTGCAAACCGCTCCGCTGCCGTCCCTAGCTACCCCCATACCAGCTGTCTTTTACTTATCTGTACTGCAGGCTACCGAACTGTGTTGTACTCTCAAGGCTACAAGCTTCCTGCGAGATATCTGCTAAGCATACGTAGGCCTCTTTTGAAAACTTGCAAAAGGGACCGGAAGCCCCATATTTAGGAGACAAAGACATTAGAAAAGATATAAAAGAAAAGCTCCCACCAGATTGCCTTGCTCAGAATTTGAGAGACAACCTCCTCTGAGAGTCCACAGGTGTAATAAAGCTGTGTAACTCCATTTCTCTAAGCGTTGCTTGGTTTTTCTCCGGTCTTCTATAACACCTAAACCCCAAGGGCTCCAGCCTGAACACTGGCTCCCTCCAAAGTGGCCCCACCTCTAAGCTCTAAGCTGGAAGCCTGTGGCCGGGCACCTGCACCAGATCCCTCACCTGGACCCCTGCAGGCATCACCCAGATGGGGCCTCGCTCCAAGGAGCTTCCTGAAGCTCAATTATTGAGCGCCGACTGTGTCCCAGGCTGCTGGGCCCCTTCCCAAGGGCCCCCCAGGGAGCCAGGACTGTCCGATGGCAGGGCACAGGTATCAAGGCCACCGTAACCACAAGGTATCCTCAGACTGAAAGACAAAGCAGGTGACTCCAATAGAACACATCAGAATTTATTGTAGGGTGGCTGACTTACCGGAAAATTGGGTCAGACACCAGCAATTCTGCACAGATTATTCTCCACTACCAGCTACCAGACCCGTTACAGTGCTGTTTGTACAGGACAACTGAAACAGGAATTTTAGGTGAATACAGGCAGGCTTAGGGAATTTTTAGAATTGGGGTCCATGGAAAAACACAGGGCTACAGATTGGGAGGAGGTACATCTCCATAACACAAGGAAGCCAGGTGCAGGGAGCAGCAACAGTTGCATTTGCATAAGACAAGGGAGCCAAAAAGGTCTATATTTACAAAATAAAGAAGGAAGAAAGCCAGAAAGAAAAGAACAATGGGGAAGGAGGGCATCACGTGTCCCTTGTGGTGTTTGACCTTTGAGCTCAGGAGTTACTGTAGTAACCAGTCTAAGGGAATAGTGACCAATCAGAGGGGATATCAAGGCACCAGGATCTGCAGCCTTTATAAGCCATAGGGAAAAGGAACTCAGTGGGACCCTTTCCCCCTCCCCACGTGGGAGTCCATTCTGTGGGACCCTTTCCCTCTCCCCACGTGGGAGTCTGTACTTGTTCTTCAATAAATCTCCACCTTTGTTATACTACTCTCTGTCCGTGGATTCATTCTTCGACTCTGGCGGACAAAGAATCCGGGTTCCAGTCCAAAAATTCCGTTTCACAACCAGCTAATGACTGACAAGACACAGGGATGAGGACTGCAGGAGTGCCAGGGCCACCCCTCCTGGTGGCCTTGTGACAGACAGGTGACTGCTTATAACTGACACTATTTTGGTATTGATCTCGGTTGTCATGCCATCCTGGCTGTTACGAACAATACTATTCATGGCTATATTTTAAGGAACGCAGAGGATCATCAACTAGAAGGCTTTGCTTTCCTTGCTAACGACAGTGAGCCTGGTCAGAGGCAACAGAGATGGAGTTGGTTTTGTTCATTTTTTTTTTTTTTGAGTTGGTTTTGTTCACATCTACATTCGTAGGAGGGCTTGTGCAACCTGCCCCAAGCAGGGCATTAAAGGCACAGCACTGTTCAATCGTTCCATAATAATTTGACTGACTGCCCTGTTAAGGTACGTGACTTCCTCTTAAACCTCCAAACACAGGGACGGATGCTGCAGGCTATTGTGCTTTACCTCCCGAGGTCTGGGCAGCCCAGGGACACCCCTTCCTCGAGGCGACAACTGGACTGGACATAGGGTTGCCCTGTTTAATTGTCATGGTCTCAGAGGCCTCCAGCCACCTGAGCAGCCCCACCGTCCACTCCCGCCCTGGTTGGGGTCTAGACTTCTGGGGCCCACAAGCTGCGGCTTTTCTGGCTTCTTGGTCACTCTTCCACCCTCGGCCTCCCCTGCTGCCTTGAGACATGGAGCTGGTTCAGAAAGGCTGGCGATATTCACACCCAGGCCTCCAGACCCCTAATGCAGGGCCCACCAGCCATCACAAGCACTGGGCTAGGAGTCAGCAGACCTGGGTCTGGGTCTCTCCTGAATGATTGCTCTACTTAGATTCTAAGAAGAATACAAGGAAACCACACTGCTGGTTGGCTTCCCAGAGGCCTGTGTCACTATAGTTCACTGTTCACATATGCCTGACATCATCCCCTCGTACCAAATATCGCCTTTACAACCTGTCTGAGATATATCCACGGTACTCTCCATCCTGCTACCAGACCGTAAAACTAGAGCGAAAGCGCTGTGTGCCCTGCTACCGGAAGCCCGGCTTTGTGGTCCTGACCGCAGGTGGTGAATAGGAAGTTGGCCCCTGAGTGTTATTTGACTCCCACAGTGAAGGAGAGAGCTCCCAGCCAAGCTCTGCCCCAACCGGACAGTCCGCAGTCCGCACTTCATGAGCCGCTGGGGAAGGAGTGTGGGGGGAAGTCTCCAGGGAGTGGCCCCAACCTCAGGGACTCCCAGGGTGGGGGTGGCGGCAGCGGATTCGACTGCTCCTTACCCCTCCCCCCACTACCCAGAGCCGCACTCCGGCTCCGGCCACGGCCACAGGGTGTCCTGGCCGCCGCGTTGGACGCGCTGCTATGGCCCGGTCCTGCCCCGCGGCTCCCGGCCCGGGTGCAGGGACCTCCCCCGCCCCGCTTCACAGTCCGCAGGCAGGTGCAGGACTCCGAGGGCCTGGCCGCGCCGCGCCCGAGTCCCCGTTCGCTCTCCGCCCCCCGAAATGCCGGAGCGCTCAGGGCCCCCCCCATCCCGCCCCCCTCCCCCCGCACAGGGGCGCGCAGGCGGGAGGGCGAAGGCTCTCCGAGGCAACTAGTTAGTTGTGCGCAAGCCTGCAGGTCTGGAGGGGCCAGGCGCTCCACATCCGTTTTCGCGGCCATGTCCCCATTATACAGACGAAGACACTGAGGTCCGGCGGCGGAGCCCGGATCTGAACCCAGGCCCAGGTTCCCGGGCCCAGTCCGGAGCGAGCGCACCCACGTCCCTCCCAGCGGGCACGCCTCGCGCACGCCGCGGGGTTCCCGGGCTCGCAGGCCGGTCCACGGTCCGGCTTCCGCGAACACCGCGCTCCCTGCGGCCCCGAGCGGGGCGCGGGCGGGCGCACGAAGCACACTCTTTGTCCGCTCGCCTCGCGCCCCCCGCCGGCCCGCCCGCCAGTCCCCGCGCCACCGCCCCCGGGCACGCCCGCCAATGAGACGCGGCGGCGGCGCGCAGGCCTCGGGCGCGTTCCGGACCCCGCCCGCCCATTCGCTGCGCCCTGCGCCCCGTTTTGAGCCTCTCCCCCACCCCCGGCCGCCGGCCGGCCGAGGGGCGGGGCGCGCGGCCCGAAGTCGGGGACCACTGGCCCGCGCACCGCCTCGAGGGCTCGCGAGCCGGCCTGCGGGCACCTTTGCCGGGCGAGGAGCCGCGCGCTGAGCCGCCGCCGCCGCCGCCACCCCTGCCCCGGCGCTGATCAGGCTCTGCGCCAGGAGGCGGCGGCCAGACCGAGTCTCTGCTCCGGGAGCCGGGGGCTCTCGACCCCGCAAAGGGCCCGAGAAGGAGAAGGACGTGGAGGAAGGACGTGGAGGAAGGACGGCCATGGCTCTCGACTTCCTGGCTGGATGCGCCGGGGGTAAGGAGGCGGGCGGGCTGCGTGCCGGGCGCCAGGGCTGGGAGGCCAGCTCACCTGCGGGCGCTCGGCCCAGCGGCTGGCCCCCTGGCTGGGGTTTCTCATCTGCAAAATGGGGATAAGAAAGCTCTCATCTCACGGGGCTCTCGTGGGCGTGAATTGACACCAGGCCCGGGAGCTGCTGTTTTTAAATCCTTCCAGGCGCGTTCGGGCAGGAGGTCTGGGGCCCCGCGGCAGCTCTGATTTGGCGGAGATGGGGGTGGGGGGCGCCAGGAAGATGCCTCGCCGCCCCCTGCGCCCTCCTCGCCCAAGGCCCCTGGTGTCCTGCAGGTGTCCTGGGAGTTTGGGGTTCGGGGTAAGAATCCTTGTCCCTCAGCTCCATCCCATCTGGAGCGGGTCCGCTCCCTGGGCCTCGAGAAGTTTGGGGCTGGCTCCACCTTCTCCTGCAGCCTTCTGGGCAGAGCTGGGGCATCGGATCACCCCCCAGCGGGCCGGCCTGTGCGCACTGCCAGGCGCCCGCTGGACCCCAGGCCCGGGTCTCCTTTGGCACGCTGCCCCCTTCCTGCCTCTATCAGTGAGCTGCTGGGGGGCGGACTCCACCCGCGTGGCAGAGTGGCCTGACGCCCTGTGGCTAGCTCTTGGGCTTACGTGGACGTGGACGTGTCTCCCAACGTGGGACACCTTCCCGGAGGGCGGGCCTTGACGCTGGCTGGGTCCAAGCCTGCGTTCCCTGGAGGCCCTGGTGGGTGTGCAGTCCCGGCTCTGCTGTGGCCCTGCCTGTTTGGCTTTTAGCTTCTCTGCTTTTGCTTGGAGAGTTAATTTACTCAACAGGTATTAATTGGGAGCCAGGTTTCGCCATGGGAATTTGGCGGTGAGTTGGCAGGCCCTGCCTCCTGGGCAGAGAGAGGGCTGGCTGGGTGTCCCGGGCCCAGTCCAGCTCTGACCTCCGGCTTCTCTCCTCCAGCACCTGCCAGTGGTGGGGGCCCCAGAGGAAGAGGCGTGCCTTAAGCCCTGGGTGAGAGCAGGCTGGCGAAGGGAGTGTGGTGTGGGGGAAGGGATTTAAGAATTTACCACACTGTTACCCAGTCGGGCCTCAGGAAACCACAGACTGGAGCCTCAAAAGCGGGTAGAAACCCCAGTTTTCAAGAAGCCAGTGGAGAATTTCTCCCAGCCCAGGCCCCGGAGGAGGCAGGAAGGAGGGGCCTCTGCCCATCCAGCTCTCATCCCTCCACCCTCCTCTGATCCCACTCTGCTCCTCTTTCCCTTCTCTTGAT